CGAATTGTTTCATTTTTTATTTGTATCATGCACACTCGATAAAATCTCTATTTGTATATATACCAGAAGTAGGTATATTTAAAAAAGGACAATGTTACAAGGAAAAGCAAAAACTATGTTTTACTTGATATCACACAAATTCAATGAAGAAGTACAAGTATTCTTGAATATCTTTAAGAATATATTGCCCACTTGGCTCCTATGGAATTATCAATCAGTCTCCGTGGTCAAAAAAGGTATTAGTAATTCCAATAAACTTTCTGTAAAATATATCTTGTAATAGAATTTTTATCAAATAATGAATAGTTATTAAGAATTAGAAATAAATAAAATATTTTTATTTCATCTTATAGTTCTTATTTTAATGATCTTTTGCAGCAATCAGTGCAATGGTAATATGATATCAAAATATTCCAGTTCCACTTCAACACATCTGTCAAATACTAATAACGGTTGGGACACCTCTTTGCACAATTTCACTAAAAACAAAAACCTTGATTCCTATCGATATCCATTGGGTGAAGATGGTTTGGTTATTCTGAGGTCCGTGGTACAAGAAAGGCTCTCTCAGATTATAGAAGAACATCATGTAAGTATTCAATCATGATTCATTAGTTTATTTTCATGACTGGTTTCTAAACTGAAAATAGTTAGTTGTAACAAAAATTTACTTTTTATAATGAATATATAATTCATTGATGAAGATAGTCATACATGAGATCATGGGCCCTGTGCGTGGACCATTGTCAGTTCAAATGGCGATTAAAGTGTTGAAATATAGAATAGAAAATATCTGAGAAAAAAGATGAGAATTTTGAAAAGTTAGAACTCTTTGTAAAAAAGTGTTGATTATACATAGATGTTTCTTTTGGATGTAAACTGAATAAAACACCAAACTGAAACATCTGCTTTCCACAATGAAGGTTGAATTATACATATATCACTTTTTGGTATTGAATTTGTACACTAAGCACCAGGCATTGAAACAAATATACGAGGTTTGTTCAAAAAATAAGGTGTCAACATTCCAAGTGTTTTTAGCATTTATTAGTGATAATAAAAAATCATCGAGATGCCGTAAACCACCATATCCTTGAATATTTGTAAGGCTTTAACATCTTGAGTGATCATCAATGTGACTTTTGGAAACAAAGATCAACAGGCCACCTTCTATTGTATGTCACCCATATTTGGAATAACGCAATTAAGAAACATAGAGAATCAAGAGCTGTTACGCTTGATATTTCTAAGGCATTTGGCGATTCATTCTTGAAATAATGGTTGTCAAATACTGCTGGGTGCGGTTCGGAAAATCACGTCTACAGCAAAAATTGTATTTATTATGACTTTTGACATCATGTCAAGGATTTTGAAGTATATAATTTGAAGGCTGATGAAAAATATCTATTTTTATTATTCAGACAAAAATAGCAACATTAACGTTTGTGCAATAATTTTGTTATATTTCCTTCATTTTTCATTTTGTGAAATTTGTTGCAAATCTCAATACCTAATATCAAAAAATCATTTCCAGAGAAAGGTTGACATGCTTGGAAAAGAACTACACATTACTAGACAAAATCTCATCAGGCAATCACGTCTAAGATGCAATCATGCTGAGTGTGAACAACAAGATGATAATGTAAGTGCCTTATTAACCATCGATTCTATTTTATCACTCTGATTGAACCAAATTGAAGTTATCGATAAAAGCGACTTGAGAAATATAATAATGCATATATCTAATGTCTTAATGTTTGGAATTTTGAGCATCTGATTCAATAAGTTTTCATTATTACCTATGCTGTTCTCCGAATAAAATACAAACTAAGCAGCAGTTTGAATACGTTTTCCATCTACTAGCCAAACAGATTGTTCAAAAATCAAATCACATTTTCAACTTAACTGATGTGTATTCCCCATTATTATGTCACTGACCCTGATAAATACCAATCAAGTAACCCTCTGCGACGCCACTGTAATTATTCGTAATCTAATTTCATGAAAAGAGGCCTGTTGTTACTGCCATGCTAACAAACACACCAAGTTTTATTAAAATCGGCAAAAGGGCATTCAAATTATTGACAAAAGAACAATATTTTAGTAAAACTTTGACACCCCATTACTCATTAACGAAGCAAGTTAGGACACGTTCATATTAGATCTTGACCATAGCGAATCGTGCAAAAACGTGTTTGCCAACAATGATATTCTGACACTCACATCTATCTAATATATAAAATTCTCGTGTCACAGTTGCCATACTCCTCAGAAACGGCCCGACCGATTTTCATGAAATTGTATATGTATATTCGGTAGGTCTGAGAACAGGTTTTAATCTACTTTTCATACCCCTAAGTGATACAGGTTTTCCACCCCAAACATTTTGTTTTCCAGGAAACATTTTTTGTTTTTATTTTTTTACGATGTGCCATTAAAAAATACATATGACCCTCAATTTTTACTCTCGTATAAGCAACCCCTATTTTTAACAGCCATTTTAGTAATCCAATCATTTTTAACCCTGATCTTAGATCCGTTATTCCCACCAGGCGTCTACCGGTGTCCCTTCTCACTTAGTAAACAGCGCGGAGTAGAGATGAGAACGAAGCCGCCCTCTTGTCTCTCCCTTACACAATAAGCCTTCTCTCATTATCTACACAGTTTTCGAACACTATTATTGTTTATCCATCCAGCGTAGATACAGTTTGCGATGCCACCGAAGCTGTAGATTATCCAACAGACTTTTTGAACCCATTGGATTTGCCAGGAATGCCACCGCATAATTTGAATAAAGATTGGATAGCTCCATAATTTGAATCCACCACGGCAGTGCAACTGCACGCGATTAGTTAATAAAGAATTAGTGAAAAAAGTTGTCGAAGCCAGCATTTCCGAGGTGGAAATATATCAATACCACGGATCCCTTTTATGCCTACAGATGTGCCAATTCATTCTAAACGTGTACAATTTCCAATTAGATGGGCATTTGCAATGACTATTAATAAGTTCAAGGCCAAACAATGTCCGTTTGTGGCTTGAATTTGAGCACACCATGTTTTTCACACTGATAATTATACGCGGTGTGCTCTCGAGTGGCAGACCATCCATTTTGTTTGTGTTAACTAAACATGGACTAACGAAAAATATTGGTACTAATATTATTTGCAAGTGGTATTGTTCTGATAGAAATAATTTATGTGGCACAACGTTTGCTGGGGCAGATAATTTATCTATATAAACTATTGATAAATACCTTCACTAACAAAGGAAAACTACTTACACAATAAGCCTTCTCTCATTATCTACACAGTTTTCGAACACTATTATTGTTTATCCATCCAGCGTAGATACAGTTTGCGATGCCACCGAAGCTGTAGATTATCCAACAGACTTTTTGAACCCATTGGATTTGCCAGGAATGCCACCGCATAATTTGAATAAAGATTGGATAGCTCCGTAATTTGAATCCACCACGGCAGTGCAACGGCACACGATTAGTTAATAAAGAATTAGTGAAAAAAGTAGTCGAAGCCAGCATTTCCGAGGTTGGAAATATATCAATACCACGGATCCCTTTTATGCCTACAGATGTGCCAATTCATTCTAAACGTGTACAATTTCCAATTAGATGGGCATTTGCAATGACTATTAATAAGTTCAAGGCCAAACAATGTCCGTTTGTGGCTTGAATTTGAGCACACCATGTTTTTCACACTGATAATTATACGCGGTGTGCTCTCGAGTGGCAGACCATCCATTTTGTTTGTGTTAACTAAACATGGACTAACGAAAAATATTGGTACTAATATTATTTGCAAGTTGTATTGTTCTGATAGAAATAATTTATGTGGCACAACGTTTGCTGGGGCAGATAATTTATCTATATAAACTATTGATAAATACCTTCACTAACAAAGGAAAACTGAATAAGAAAAGCAAGTACCACAAATATGATGCCAGAAAAAAATGACATCTATCTCCAATACACACTCAGATCGCAGCACAAAAGATCGCCTTCATATCGCCTTCAACCTGTTATTTGAAAATATTAAATCAGAAACAAATTTGAAAATTTTCTAATTGATTCGGACGTTACTTGATGAAGATCCACAGTAATTTCAAGAACTACACCTCACGATTTAATCTCCATTAACTTTTTTTTCTAACAGTGTTTCTGATGGGTGTCGATGTCGTACTCTTGCATGGGGGTTTCTTGTCACAGCATATTTTCTAATGATTTCTACATTGTCATCTTTTCTAGGAAACTTCTGAGTAAGTGATGGTAGTCTTTCCTCGGTAGGGATAATATCAGTGAGTTGGTACAGCAGAGGGTTTGGAGGGTTGTGTTTGGGGTTATTGGGATGCCTTAATCTTGTTATTTTTCTTATAGCCGTTGTTTCAGATACTTTAATTGTTTTCAAGGCCCTTTGTTTGATATTGAGAAACAGTGGGTGCGAGTATTCAATAAGTGGACGACAGATTAGTTTATATATTCGGCTCGCTGTTGTAATATGTTTGCACCTGCTCCCGGGTTTGTCAAACTTGTGAAATGTGCGGCTCTTGCAATCACTTTCTTTTTTTTTGTTATTGACATGGCGGTTGAAATTTAGTCTGAAATCAAGCGTAACACCTAGGTAATCAACTGTCGATTTGGCATGTAAGATATGTTGGAAAACGTTGGAGACGTTGCGGAATTCCGATGATTCAATATAATGAACTGAGACTTAGATGGGTTTTGTTGGAGCCTTCACTTTTTAATTTAAGAAAAATTCAAAGAGATTACTTGATCATACATACTTTTATTCAATACATCAATATAAATTCAAATAATCTGTACTATTTATATGAAAAAATATATTCTCTCCACTTCCCTTACTTTCTGTATTTACAGAATTCCGTGAATGAGTCCGTCTGCAGTACTAGTGAAACACAAGCGTCAGTAGGGGAATCCCTACGTTCTGACCTGTCTTGGGTAGCCGTTGACGAGGGTTCAACCGCCGACTGTCAGAGGACGCTCTGGGTACCTGACCATGCCGTTAACAAATGTACGGGATGCAGTACGGAATTTTGGCTGGGAAGGAGAAGGCATCATTGCAGGTATGTAAGGATGATAAAAAACTGAATGCCTTTTGAAATCGAATGTTTTTTCTCAGATTAGAATGTGAAGTATTTGCAAAAAAAATACATCCTAAATTTGATTTTCCGCAGTTGAAGTATTAGATTTCATGAAAAAATCTTCCGCTAGTCCTGCAAGTATGTATATATTGAAATGTCATTTCTTAATGATCAAAATAAAATTTCTTGTACATGATAGTGCATCTGTTTTTTTCTGGTGTTATGATATGATGATTGATATATTAATACTCGTTCATTATATTTTCTATCAAAAATTAACATTTTACATTCCTCGTTTGTTTGAAGGTGGTTGACAATGTTTCGTGGTGTATTTCATGAGTTCGGACTTCTTTAACTTGCGCCCAGATTAATT